ATAGAAGTATTTGTATAAAAAATGTCTTTTGCTCTTAATATGTACTGAGATTAAATGTCTATCGGATTTATTTGGTGATCAGGTTAATAAATCATGAAATAAATTCTTGGCAAATTAATTATCCTTCTCCTTACTTTGATCTTCAAAAAAAAACTATTTATTAGATAACATTTATTTATTATAATATAAGATAGCATTATTAGAATATTATTAATGGAGTGAGATTTATTAATGGGTTATTTCGTGCTATTGCGATATTAGGTGTCTGGCTGCTGATAATTGATGAGCCATTAATATCAAAGGGCAAAGAGTTTATTTCTAATTTATTAGCTTTTTTAGTTTTATTCATTAATCATCGATTTATCATTAAGACGTACTAGATATTCATGAAATTAAATATTGTGTGTAATTAAAGATGAGCTGTGAAATAAATGTTCAATTTTTAATTTTTATAAAAATTATTTTTAAAAAATTAATTAAGAATATTTTTTTTAATGTTCAATTTTTAAATTTTTTTTTTTTTTTTTTTTTTTTTTTTTAATTTGTTTAAAGTCGCATAAACTACTAAGGTCATGAGCGACTACGGTAGGGAGTAAACTTTTGAGATTGGAACTCGTTTGTATTTCTTGAGCTGAGCAGAATAATACACTTAAATATTGAAAATATTCATTGGTGTACGCCGGATTCGAACCCGGTCTAATGCTTCGGTAGCAAGGGCCGGATCCGATAGGCTACTGCGCGCCTTTTAATTTTTATAAAATTTATTTTTAAAAAATTAATTCAGAATATTTTTTTTTATGTTCAGTTTTTACTTCTTTAATTTTGATAAAATTTATTTTTAAAAAATTAATTAAGAATATTTTTTTTAATGTTCAATTTTTCAGCTTAAAAATTCATAAAAAAATTAATGAAAATATATATCATTTTTTTCCAGAGATGCGGCGTCGCCAATCATCAGGAATATTTAAATGCAAAATGATTCACATTCGCGTCCTGCTGTGTATGGCCGTTTTATCAGTCGCACAATGTCACCAGGTGAGAAAAGAATCACTCTTTCATTATATTACCAACTTTATTCCTCATTTAAAAGTTAATCACCGAACCAAAACCTCTATACAAATTTTTATACTCTTGTAAACATTTTATTGGCAGTTATACTTGCAGCCCTTTGTTCACTCACGAATAGAATGCGTTCAACACTGCGGTCAGAGTTTACTGCCGTTAATATAATATAAATAATCTTTACAATGTACCAAAGTGCAGACTGTGTTAATTATAGTATAAATAATATTTATATTGAGGAAAAAGACTCACAAGTTAAAAGTTAACACATACGACTAGTTTTACGGCTTTTCGTTTTAATTTAATACGTTTTAGTGTTCTGTACTGACGGGTTTGGTTATCGAAAACCTACAACCGCAATTTAAATAAATAAAAAAAGTAAAATGTCTTTTAAGTGTTGATAGAAAGAAAACCAATATTGTCACTTACTCAATGAGCTGTCAACTTTAATTTACTTTCTTATACTTACGTCCGTAAAAATAATATTGTATTATATTATATTATTTGTTTTATTATTCAGAATATCTTTTTCTTTATATTTCTAATTTTTTATTGCATTCATCAGAGGAAATGAAATCACCGAGCTGTAATAAAATTAAATAAATAAAAAAATTCTTCATTAAAAAAAAATAAAAAAAAATTTAGACAATTAAATAAAAAATTCCAACTTGTAAAAATCGATTTCTAAATTTTTTGCACGTGTCTCTTATCTGTAACTACTCATCTAAACTTTTAACTCTTACGCAATATTTACATTAAAAAAACGAATGGGTAATTAATTTAAAAAATGAGCAATAATTATTATTAAAAAATAAATCAAGTTGTGAAATGAAGACAATAAATATTATAAACCGGGACATGAATATTTAATTGAAAAATAAATAATTATCTAATAATTAAAAATTTATTGCTTATTAGCTATTACTTATTACTGATAAATAAATATTTAACGATCAACGAATCGATTCATTAGCAGAACTTTTATGCAATTGGTACCTTCAAGCTGTAACGCAAACGCATATATTTGCGCAATTTAAAAGCATTGCTAATTCTAATCAGCTTGGGAAAATAAAAATATGATTGAACGAAAAAAAGTAAAATGCTTGGGAGTTGGGAGCTACCGATTGTGAAAATAAAAAAAATAAAAAGGTAATCTTTTACGCACTTAGTTTGAATCGCGTTTCGCAAATAATTCCCGGGAGTTATTTATATGTCTCATTAGGGCTCTAACGTGTGTTTATGTTGGCATACAAATACACTGTGTAGAGAGTACTCTCAGATACAGAAGTAAGAAGCAAATAAGCCGAGAAAATAACCAAGGACGCTCCGATTCTGGCTGTTTCTAGCACCGATTGCCTAACATTTTATTTACCAGACTTTGCGCCGTAAAACTCCCGATTAACCAAAAAAAACCGGGTGAATTATTTAAATAACACCATTTAAATCACCCCAACACATTAAGATGTGTATCTAATTGTTCTCAGTAAATTGTTCTCGCTTTCGATTTCGTTACCGATATCGAAATCTCCTCCAAGAAATAAAATGCCATTTAGTCCAATAAATTTATGCCTATTTCATTAGTAGCTTATAGTACTAATACAAAAAAATTGGTAACAAAAACTGTTTTATCTGACTATTGATATTTCTCAATATTATTATATTTATTTATTTATTATTAAGAAATAAAATTCTATTGAATAAAATAGATTCCTATCCAAGATTCTAAGATCCCCGGGGATTTATACATTTTTATTTTTTCTCAGTACACGCTGATCTTGTCTCAACTCGCGATATTCAACCAAAGCAGAGCAGCAAATTGTGAAAGTACTGAATATAATGCAAAACGATTGCATTAACACAAAACAACGATTTATGCTCCATCAACCCGATCTCAATAAATAAATTAATATTTTAACTTTTTTTTTTCTTTTTTTGCTTCAACGATACGACTATTTTCTGGGCAGCTAAAAATTAGCAAGACAATTTTTTTTTATAAATTAATAAAAAATTGATAAAACTATAAATAAAAAATTTTTTAACAAGTTAATCATTCAGAAAATTAAAAAATTTATAAATATCTGATGAATTACCTTCCATAAAAATTTCAAGTTTGATTTTTATAAATTTATAAATACAATATTGAAATCTTTTGTTGACTTTTGTATTTATTATTTATTATTAATTGCAAAATCCCCGCTTGTTTAACAATAGATTGTCGCAATTGGGCTAACGATCGATCCGTCAATCCTGTATATAATAATAATAGTAACAATAATAAATATGTAATAATAATAAGAAAGGAAATAAGTAATATAATAATACACATATTTAAAAACGAGGCAACTAAGAGTGAATTTAACACGAAGTGATGCCTCGGGGATGTATTCACTCAGGTCCTTTCACTCTCGATTCAAATGGAGGTCGGCTCATCCTTTAGCAAATTCATTTCCAAATGCAATAAAAATTATACAATGACTCGAAGTATTTCCTTATTTATTTAATTAAGCGTTAGATGTATTTTAACATTATTATAAATAATGAATAAAAGAATTAAAATATAATTGATTGAAGTTGAGTTGACATTTAAAATTTTTCCAAGTTTTTTTTTTTTTATTTATTGTACGTGATGCGTGAGGAAGAAAAAGCCAGGATGGTTGGTATAGGGCACGCACCAATCGCTGATGCAATTAAACCCTCGATAAAATCAAAGCCCGAGCGATTATATCAGATCATTGTGTATCCGGAGTAATCGATTGGAATAATATAAGAAGAAACATCTTCACTTATCGTGATATCGATGGTATCGACGGATAGTTTGAGCGCATCCTTTCACTCTCGACTTATACTTGTTCTTTCCATCACATCTACATCGACTGCCAGCATACTTAACATTTTTATTTGTTTAACATTGTGTGTGTAAAATGTAAAACCGTCTACACACCTCTATGCGCGACCTTTTACTGCTCTTATTGCTTGTATTACCGATCTTTCTATACTGATTGTAAAAAGCTTTTCCTCGTGGACATTTTATTTCAAAAGTAAAGGTAAACGTTAAAGATCAATCTATCATCCCAGTAATTAATGTTTTTTTTTTTTTTTATTTATTTATACATCTAACAATTTTATTTTTAACATTGACAGCGTGATAATCGATTATTTTATCTATTAATGCATAGAAATTATCATTAATTTCAATATTTATAATAATAATAATAACAATTTAATAAAAGATTAAGCTATTATTATTAGTATATCGCAAATAATTTGAAATTTAAAAAAAATTAGTGTAATAATAATAACAAGCAATCACTATATGACTGCCGTGACTGTGAACTATAAATAAATAAAATTTGGTTTTATTAAATAATGAATTTTGTTAAATTGCACTGTACTATCTTAAATATTGACAATTTTAAAGATATAAGCTCATCCCGATGTTACGATCATCAAGAGCTTTCATTTGAGTACCCACATGCATTTTGATTTATTTTTATATATACATATATATTCATATATATATATATAAATATATAAAATATATGAAAAATTGATGTGGATACTCATATGAAAGGTCTTGATGACTGTAACTTTGGGATGAGCTTATATCTTTAAAAAGGTCAATAGTTCACGAGATACAAAGTCATTTCTTAATTATGTATCTAGAGATAGAGCATTTTCGAATGTAGCCTAAATACTTATCTAAAACTCAATTTTATCATATAAATACACTGGCCACAAAACTTTGCTTATTTTCTTAATAATAATAATAATAATTTATAAATTTGTAAAGATGAACTTTCGGGTATATTATTTGAAAAATTAAAATTTTTTTAAGTAAAAAATAAAATAAAAGTTAACACCCACTATTTGAAAAGGGTGAAAAATTTAACCAACGAACAAAAAAAGAGAAAAATTTCTCATAAATTCGAAAATATTTTTCTCAGATTCACGAACACATGACGGCAGAAGAAAGGCTGTCGGTATTCCACCAAACGACTGATGAGATCGGTAAGTCTGATAAATTTAAATAAATATTTTTTATTACAACTAAAAACAAATTTAATACGTCTAGAAATAAAAAAAAAATATATATATATATTTTCATTCATACATCACTTTTCTATATATTTATATATATATTACGAATATAATGTAAAATGTAAAATCAACATTCAAGTTAAGACGATCATTTTTTATCCTGGGATATATATTTATATTTTTTTTTATGTCCTCGACGTAGTGTCTACGTGGGTCGATTGGCTCAGGTGTATATATTTATGCAAATTATCCCATGAGTCATAAAAAATTTTTTTTCGATGATTCCTTTTTTTTTTCTATTGACTTTTTAGTTTCGATTGGGTTATCCCGTTATTAATTAGAAAGGAAATAGAAGCAAATATCCATAGGAAGCACTCAATAAACTGAACTCAATAAATAAATTAATTAATTCATTATTGCGAGAATAAATTAATATTGAATTATAAATTGATGATGATTAAATTTATGTAATCTGACAATAGTAATTTATTGTTGTTATTAATTTTTGGATGAACATGTGGGAAAGGACCAAGAATCACGTCTTAAACTAGTGGTATTGTGAATTAATACCGGTGAATCATTTGTGGTATGAATTATTTATCAGAAGGAATCGGCTGAGGCATTTTTTACCCAGATGTTTATTGGTAAAATAATAATATACATATAATATAATCGATTCATGGGTCATTCACATCTGGAAGATTCTGTTCCCACGTAAAATAATTCAATTAACTTAAATGTTGATAAGGATGTATTAGTAATGGCAATAAAATAAAATTTTTACAAATATTAATTTTTTTTAACTCCCCTAAGACTAATGGTGGCCTTTGTGTCTTTATGTCTTCAGTGCCGACGTATCAAGTGGTCCCCATTTTGCACTCGGTATTCAAGAGAAGCCCGGAAGTGGAGCCTGAGGTCCACTTTAAGGTGTTCGGTCAGGAGTACCAATTGTCCCTGAAGCCAACAGAAAGACTCTTTTCTCCTGACAAACACATCGACATGTGGACAGTCATTAAGAATAGCTCCAGTCCTAATGGACTCGACTACGAACAAGTTCCTGAGGTTCCTTAATATTTTTTATTTTTTTTTATTTATTTATCAACTAATTGTGACCATAAAGTTCATAATAAAAAATTCCTATTTGCGTCAGATCAATTTAATTTTGAATGAAAAATATAAAATTCTTGGAAAGATGTAAATAATTTTTTTATACTAAAAAACATTAAAGTACAAAAGAATTTTTTTCTATTATAAAAAAAAAAAAAAACTTAAATTTATAAATTCATTGAATCTATAAAATTACAAATAAAAATGTTGATGCATAAAAAATATGTTACGAAAGAGAATTTTGTAAGAAAAAAATTCTGAGAAGAAATATAAATTACCAATTAGTTGTATAATAACAATAATAAAAATTTATTTTACCAAAAATACTAATCAATAAAAACTGACAGGCTAGTGCAGATATCGGTGACATTTATCAAGACCCGGCGAACATGGCGTCTATATTGCTGCACCGAGATGCGAATGGGAAAGTACTTGTGGTAAGAAAATAACCGTATTTAAAAATAAATATATCTCATTCGTCCTCTAATTTCTTAGCCATCAGATTAAAGATTCGCGTTTCACTGATCCCGAGTCTCAAAAAAAATAAATAAACATAATAATCAACCTGTATACCCCTTTCGTCACACCACGAAGTAGTCCGTAACCGTAACAGTTATTATACCCAGAAATATTTCGTAAACTTTTATTTTAAAACTCGGTCCACGGACAGATTGAAACGCTATCTCCGTGAGCTGTCCAACTCAATTCATGTAACAGCAATAATAATAATAATAATAATAATAATAATCATCATCATTACAACAATAGTACAAAAACAAAACCGCGATGCATCGTAACAGTAGGTTGCATGACGGAAAAACAATTAGAGGGTGGCAATCACAATGCTCTTAGGTCTCTTCGTTTCTCCTATACACCGTGTCAGCAAAACAGACGATATTGCAAGACAGCCAGCTAAACAAAACATTTTTTTAAATTCGCAACAATATTTATTCACTACAACTCTTACAACTCTTATTTATTCTCTTTATCCCAATACAACTCCGGTGTTATTTTTTCTGTCACGCATCGCTCAGCGTCCCAGTTTCGATCCATCTCTTGCAATTTCCGTCAACATATTTATTCCACTAACAAAGTTGCTTCAATAAATCTCTTTCTTCCTTCGAGTTCATTGCTTAAAAATTTTTTTTTTCAATCACTCAATTCATTAGAAATGAAAATAATAACCTCGCAACGACCTCGTGGCGCCCAACGCTTTGTAATTAGGAGGTAGTCAAGTGAATTGTCCTCGTTACCTCCTATACTTATTTATATATTTTTATTATACATTATTATATAAATATCTATACATTATAATCAATCGTACTCTTACACGACAATAATATTTAGTATTTGGTCACGCACCGCTCATCTTCGTGGCTACAAACATTTATTTATGTCCTCACCTTGTTCGCAATAGACGTTTCATTATTATATTACTATTATTGTTGTTATTACCAAGCTAAGTAATAGTTTAGGATTTTAACTTGACATTTAATAATATCTACTGAAAGTACGCAGTAATTGGTACGCACGTCAATAATTGATTGCTAACATAGGCAAATGCAATGCACTTTTTAGAACCTTTTACATTAAATTATTCTTGATTATTTTTAAAAGGGACGAGCATGGGATTTATCAATGACTCAATAAACATGTTAATTATGCACGAGTAAGACTGGCCGATTATATAATAAAATAAGAGGCTAATGTTGTGATGTAAAAACAAGCCTCCGGTAAAATAATATTTGTATTTTTATTTTAAAATATCTTGCTCGTCTTCTTCGTGTTGGTCTTCATCTCAACTTGGCTACAAATGAACTTAGTGTCATGACCTTTTCGTGAGCGCTTTCACTGCTGCCGGTTAGGTGTATTACACTTTACAGTTGTTACTTTTTACCGGTTAACTTGAAATGCCTATATACTGAACATATATATGTACCCATCCTGTGATCAAACTTGATAGATGATCGATTGAGACCGAGTTTGTTGCCATATTCATTTTTGCCGGCTATTACTGCACGGATAACATTTACACGTAATCCGAATAAGAAGAACATTTAGACCGATCCTTGCTATTTTTTTTTTTTTTCAACTAATGACCCGGTTACGCATGTAATTTTTGAAAGATTCTTCTTAAGCGATGTCGAAAATATTTACTTTCTTTTTTTTATTAGCCGGAATTATTGTAATTTTATTAATAATTGAATAACATTGTTGGGCAATTTTTTTTTACTTCATGGAGAGAATTAAATTGTAAAAATTATCATAGAGTCATTTTTAATTGATTCATACAATTAAATTTACAATTGTTGATATTAAGAAGAGCTGATGAATTTTATTTTCGAAAATATTTATTAACATCAATATTATAAACGTTATTTAATATTGATATTTTTTATCGAAATTCACTTATTAAATTAAAAATTTCAAACTTTACCAACTTTATAATCTCCAAAAAAATATTTATAGTCAAAATAATTGAGAGATAGTAACAGTTATTATCACAAAGTATGATAGTTATCATTTAAACTAATTAAAATTTCATATTAAAAATCATTATCCTTGATAGTAATCATTGCCATCTTCAATAATAACTCCTACTCTTAATAAATGATTAATTCTTAATACAAAATTGTAAAACTAATTATTTTAACTCTAGAAAATTTTACTATGTTAGATGATTTATAAAAAAATTTCGTATTAATGATATAATTTAATTCTCTCTGAACTGAAAAAAAAATTAATTTGATCCAAGAGAAAAATTCTTGAACCAAGAATATAATTTTAAAGAGGGTAATTGTCTTAAATCAAGAAGAAAAATTCTTGAATCAAGTAAAATTTCCTTAAATCAAGAATATTAAGTTCTTCAAAATTATATACTTGATTCAAGAACAATTTTTTTTCTGTGTGGGTTTATTTAAAATGAATTATTTTTAGGAAGGAGACATTGGCTCTGAGTTAGTGATCCGACCACTCTCGAGCCGATTAAATGAAATAGTAAGTAAACATGATGTGTATCACGAGCCTAATTTACTGCCAAATGTTACAAGAGTAAAGAGAAGTCTCAGTCAAACACATCATCACATTGTGTATAAACGCACGAGTCGGCCTGTCTCCGATGAATATAATGATTTCGGTAAGTTTTTTTTTTTTTTTTTTTTTATAATTGTTTAAGTTATTTCGAAAGTACAATTAAATATAATGAGAATGAGTAATCTTTTATTTTTTAATGTCACTTATTAAATCATAGTTTCGCTTGAATTTTTTTCCTATAAAATTAATAATAATAATAATTTATGAGAAAATTTTTTAAATATTAAACGTCGATAATGATGATAATAATATTAACGAGGTACTTTAAATCACCCACAGCTTTTATGGAACCGGACCACCTAGCTAAGAGGTTCAGGTCGAAGAGATCAATTAACTCGAGAACGGAATATTCTTCACCACCGCCTGATGTTATTTATCCGGAAATATTATGTATTGTTGATTACGAAGGCTACAGGTGAGATAATTATTATTATTTATAATTTTTTATATTGAAAATTGAATAAATAATTACGATAATCATTCAAATAACATATTAAAATATTCAATTATTGTACTGATATTAATTTACACGCATCACGAGGAAACTATGTGTATGTTGAACGAATTCTTACATAATAATATATAATTGCAAAATGTTTAAAAATCGGAGTGAACTGGATTCAACCAGTTAATTATTAGTTTGAGTACTAGTTAACCAATCGATATATAATTACATGCCAGAATAATTTTTATCCAAGTTCGGAGTTCAACAGAAATAAATTAGCTCCTGATTTTTAAGCATGTTCTTTTTTTTGTTCTCGTTTGAGTTTGTATTAATAATTGAACGGCTTGTTGCAGAATGCACGGAGGAGATAATTTGCAAATAAAAAAATACTTTGTGGCCTTTTGGAACGGAGTTGACCTGAGATATAAGTCGTTGAAGGGACCAAAAATACGTATTAGTATTGCCGGAATTATTATCTCGAGGGTAAAATTTTTTATTTATTTTAAAAACTTATTGTTTTTATTATTAATTTAAACTGTAATTATTAGGGAAGGGACGCAACACCGTACTTGGAAAATAATCGTGTAGGACGTGATGCCATCGACTCAGCAGCAGCACTTACCGACATGGGCAAATATCTCTTCCGGGAGAGAAGACTTCCGGTTTACGATATTGCCGTAGCAGTGACAAAGTAAGGGTAACCGTATTCCACGTAAATTACACACTATGTGAATACCTTTTTTTTAATTTTTATCAACTCAAACTTCATTACTAAAAGTCACGAATTTTTTTTTCTCGGAACAAATTGTCCCACTTTCAAATTTAGACTAAACATTTTACTCTCCGTATTCTTAAAACTCATTAGTGTCGCATCAAGTCCAGTCGAATCGCATAAAAGAATTTCTTTGCATTTCATTTACTTAAAAAATAATTGCCGCTGTAATTTCACCAACTTTTTTTCGGGTCTTGTTTGTGTTTCTCGGTAACAATATTTTAAATTTAAATAACACCCGTTCATTTCAAAAGTCTTATTCAAAATAAAGAAAATTTATTTGATTCAAGAGTAAAAATTTTAAACCAAAAAAATATCGAAAATTATTATATTTTTCAATAAAACATGAAAGTAATTAAATTAAAAAATTTATTTTGGTTTTAAAAAATTTAACTAAATTAAAAATTCAAAATTATTTTTTTGACTTGAAATTTCTTCTCCCAAAATTAAATTTTTTATCAAACTATTTAAATTACAAAATTTGTTTCATATATGACCATCAGTCGAACGATAATTGACCCTGAGATTATTGGCGGGCCTTGAAAATATTCAGCGGTCACGGCCCGATTAATTTAGAAATAATCATTCAATTTGTAAATTGTCATTGTTATTATTATCATTACTGGTGTTGTAAAAATCAATCAATCGGTTGGTTAATCATTAATCACTATAAAAAAATTATTTTTCTATAATTTATCTATTTATTTTTTTTTTTTTTTTAAGAATTGATTTTCCAATTAATCGATTGCTCTCTTGCAACACTAATTATTTAAAAAAAAAAATATAAACTCATCGCCATCACTATTTTCATACTATCGAATTTTTTCATTCTATAAAACAGGTATGATATGTGCCGTCGTAGGAAAGGCGGCCGGTGCACTAAGGGAACCGCTGGTATGCTCACTCCAGAGATTATATATACACTTTTGTTATTTATTATTATTAATTATCACCGATAATAACTATTTACCCTCACCGTCCATTTGTAAATATTGCGCCAACATTTATTCGTTAAGTAGAAAAATTACTGGGCTGAGTAACCAAAGATTTTTTAAATTAAAAAAATCTTTCGTAGTCAATTTTTTATTTTTAAAAATCAGTAGTTACTTTATCGTGATTTTTTTATTGAATAAAATTAATAATAAACTAGATACTTAAACTCGTGATTATGCAAAAAAAATGTTTAAACTTAATTACGCAGTAAATTTTTATTACTCGAAATCCGGGCGTTGACATCACGATAAAGTCACTGACATTAAGTGCAATAAAAATAATATTAAAAAAAGGACGAAAATTAAAAACAATTTACAAGATAGTAATGGTAGAATAATTGCTTGTTAATGTTTAGGTTTGGGATTATCATTAGTCATTTAGTGTGGTTATAATTTAATTAATGTATGTATATTAATTTAATTTTAAAAAATAAAGTGCAATCTAGTGGCCCTCGACAGTGAAAGAACCGAGTTCGTAGAATACCAGGACAATACACCGCTAATTCAAGGAGTCACCTCTAAGATTTTTATTTTTTTTTTTGTACTATAATAACGCAAACACTTGATATCAAGTCGCTTCAAATTTTTATTTTCTTTTGAACTAAAGTCTGCCAAAAAAATAAGACAGTAATCGCTTCGTCATCAATCGTTCGATTCATTTTATTTAATTACATTAGTATATTATTCTTCTTCTTTTTTTCTATTGAGAGTCTCGTGACGTGGTTCTCCATCACAGTTTTTTACTGAATAATAAACAACGATTTTAATTGTGCGTTCCAGATTAGATATGTGCAGGAGACAACATACTAATGCCGTATGCAATAGAGGAACTGCAGGTATGTTTTCTCACGAAGAAAGTTAAAGCAAACAATATAAAAAGATCCTTTTTTCTTCACTTTTTTCAATTTTTGTGCACTCGCACCTTTTTATCTTTCACTGATGTTTATTTTGTACTTCACTTTATTTATTTTTAAGGTAAATGGCCAATTTTTTTTTATTTTTCTGATTGATGAATTTTATTGTAAATTTTCAATCTTAATTATAAATAACTAGCGTCAAGAAATTTTTAAGTTCTATCAAATAAATTTTTAATTTAATTGTGAAAAAAATTATATAAGTAATAATGATGATTTATTTAATTAATTTATTGATTTAATATAGATCAAAATTCTAAGAAATTTCTTTGGCTGAATAAAATTTTTTAAAATTAATAAGTTAGTATAAAAATTTAATGGCCTAACTACCTTACAAATCACCTATCACTTTACTTTTAAATGTAAAAATTCTATAAAATAATTGTCTTTATTATTTCATTATTTTATTTAAAAAAAAAAAAATTTCTAGTAAAATTGCTGAAAAACAGAATTATTTTTTCTGGACACCTGCTCTCTACACTGGCTTGTTCTCTCACTGGCACGTATTGCGATCTCCAAACCAAAAAGTCTCAATAAAAATTATATTATTTTATCAACACAAAAAAAAAACTGAAAAAATTAAAGAGCAAAAATTTTTGACGCAAGAAAAATTTTGAAGAATTTTTTGTCTCTTCAAAACAATTTTCTAGGTTCTAAAATTTTTCTCTAAAACCAAGTTAATTTTTTTTCAATGCACTAAATAATTGTATTTGTCGTTTTCTATGCACGTTTTTTCTCGTTCACTATAAACTTTTCTGATAAACGTTTTAATTTTTCACCTCCAACGTACTATCGTTAAGGACCCCCACGGTAAGTCTCTCTATTCTTCACGTGAGTGACTAAATGAATAGATTTACAAAGTTAAAAAAAATTTTTTAAATAAAAAAATTATAAATTTTAAATGACTGAAAAATTACAAAATTATACGCATGAGCTTACGACGGCCACTAGCATGGCTTATAATTACAATAGATACAATAACATTTCAGTTACTTTAATCATCAATTAAAATCAATAACATCCTAACAGTAACTCGATAATTTATTAATTAATTTTAATTGAATAAAAAAAATATTGCTGGTATTTTTAACCCAAAGTAGCTGAATTAACTAAACTGTTTGTCAAAAAATATTAATATAAAAATTGGTTTCCATAATTAATAATTTATATTAAACAATGCATAATAGATTGAATAATAATTAATAATATTATTGGGGTGGAATATTATGAAAATTTTTAATGTAATAAACTCTCTCAACGCAGGATTCGCTTATGTGGGTGGTGCTTGTGTTGTTAACAAGCGTCTGGAGAAGGTCAATTCAGTTGCTATTATCGAGGACACCGGCGGATTTAGTGGAATAATCGTCGCCGCTCACGAAGTCGGTCATTTGTAAGTCTCAAAACTTTCTATTTATAATTCCTCTTATTAAAGTATAATAGAGTAATAAAAATCTAAAATACATAAATAAGTAAAATGTCAATAAAAGTCAAGTCTAGCTGATTGTGAGCGTAATCATCGGCTTGCGCGAGTAATTATTAAAATTTATTATAAAATGTCCGTAAATATATAATTACAATAAGTATCTATTATGCAGGCTGGGTGCTGTACATGATGGTTCACCGCCTCCAAGCTACCTCGGTGGACCAGGTGCTATCAAATGCCGATGGGAGGACGGTTATATCATGAGTGATCTTCGACACACCGAGAAAGGATTTAAATGGTCCCACTGCAGTGTCGCATCTTTTCATCACTTCCTTAAGTATGCTTTTATTTAAATTTGACTTAATAAATCATTGCAGTTTGTAGTTTTCGGTTTTATTATTATTATTATTGGTTGTTATTTATTATTATTACTATAATTAATTTTTAATTCTATCGCGGAAGTTGTTAAAGTCACTATTTATTAGACAATGTATATTATATTATTATTGTTATTTCAAAATTAAAAATATATTATTAAGTTATTAAATTAAAGTGAGTTACAACACAAATTAATGTCAGAGCAAGTTGATTTCACACTTTGATTTTTTTATTTTAATAATTGTTTTAAATATACATCTACTGTAAATAAAATTTTAATTTCTGACTGAGTGAATAATTTTTTAAAAGTTTTATTAGTTTAAGGGAAATACAATTTATAAAAGCTAGATGCTTTAAGTAAAAAATTGTAAAAATTAATACTTAAGATTTTATTTTATTTGGAACTATAATTTTAATTTTTAACTAAAAATAAAATTATAATTACTAGTAACCTTGTATATAAATAAAATTTTGCTTTATTAAATAATGAATTTTGTTAAATTGCACTGTATTTTCTTAAATATTGACAATTTTAAAGATATAAGCTCATCATCATGTTTCATTCATCAAGAGCTTTCATTTGAGTACCCACATGCATTCTTATATATTTTTCATATATACATATATATAATATATATAAATATATGAAAAATTGATGTGGGTACTCAAATGAAAGGTTTTGATGAATGTAACATCGGGATGAGCTTATATCTTTAAAAATGTCAATAGTTCACGAGATATAAGGTCATTTCTTAATTATGTATCTAGATTTAACCATAACAACCCAATTATGTATAAAATTTAAACATAAAAACCAATTTTATCACATTAATATACTGGCCACAAAATTTTGCTTATTCTCTTCATAATATAGATAATTTATAAATTTTTTGCTCAAAGCTACTGTTATTATTACAAAAACTGTAAATTTGTCAATTGCTCTTTTTTTTCGAGCTAGACAAATTGTTGCAAATTCTAAATTATTCCGAGCTTGTTAATTAACATAAATACTATTTTTACAGCGGAGATACGGCGACCTGCTTGACAAACGTACCGCATGAAGACGAAAAACTGTCGCGAGTATTACCCGGTACATTATTGTCATTAGATGCACAATGTCGCAAGGACCGTGGCACGAGTGCATGTTTCGTAAGTATAAATACATTAACAAGTATATAAATTTAATCTTTCGATATTTACAATTTGTATTTAAATCTTTAAAAATTTTAAATGTCATAATATATATTTTCACTTCTTTAGTCGTTTGTGTAATGAAATTTGAATAAATTATTATTTTATTTTTATTATATAATAATTTAAATTACAGAGAGACAACAGAGTTTGTGCTCAATTATTTTGCTTTGACGCGCTCTCTGGTTACTGTGTTGCGTACAGACCTGCTGCAGAAGGCTCTTCATGTGGGGATGGACAGGTACTTTTTATACTAATTTTAAAACAATCATTTTAAGTAATTAATGCTGTATTAATTTCGTCTGTTTACTCCTCAGCATTGCTTAAATGGTCAATGTGTAGCAGAACACGAAAATATTATTCCCGATTACACGCAAAATATTCCCTCGTATGTCCGTCATGACGGTGTTTACAACAATGCAATTCATAGCCGTCCTTTTTCACAGTATAATCATACAGACTACAGGTATTTTTTAATTTATTTGTCTAAAAAATGTTTTTTAATTTTTTAGCTTGAAAAATTCACAGTTTCTGATCTTTTTAAATATACTTTTTATTTATATAAAAAAATTTATGGTAATTATATAGAAGTAGGGCTTCAATTATGGTTAAAAATAAATTTAGTCTCACTTCTACATAATTACCGAATTTAAACCTAAGTAAAGTGACTTGAAAAAAAAAATTAAACTTATCAACTACTTGATTTTAATCCCTAGTCAATAATTTACAATCAAGATCAATAAGAATAGTCGTTGACTCGGTAATAAAGTGAATAATTTTATTAATATTAATTTTGAAGGCTAAGAAAGGTCAGAAACTGGGACATGGTCAATAACGATTATTTACGTAAACTATCAATAATAATATAAATATTTTTAGAAATTTATTAACTTGATATATTATGAAGCCAAAGAATAATTTCAGAGTTTTAATGAGCAATAAACAAATAAACGAGCCTTTATTAGCAAATAAATCAATTACACTGTCGATAAAAGGCGCGCAGTAGCCTGTCGGATCCGGCCCTTGCTACCAAAGCATTGGACCGGGTTCGAGTCCGGCGTACACCAATGAATATTTTCAATATTTAAGTGTATTATTCTGCTCAGCCCAAGAAATACAAACGAGTTCCAATCTCAAAAGTTTACCCCCTACCGTAGTCGCTCATGACCTTAGTAGTTTATGCGACTTTAACAAATTAAAAAAAAAAAAAAAAAAACTGTCGATAAAATTTTATAAGCTTGTAATTAGACAGTCGTCAATCCGAAACTATTTATTGGCTTTATCGCTTCAGTTTGTTATTCACTTACATTAATAATTTACACGAATTTAATCCTTCAATTAAAAATATATATTTTATATTTTTGATACACATTTTTAATATATTTTATGTAAAATATTAATAAAGTTCTTTAATTAAAAAAAACCGGTATATTTATTAGCAATAGTTTTATATTTAATAAATATATAAATGACATAAAAATATTTTTTGTCAATAAAAAAATTGCAATCTGACTTAATCCGCCCACGGTACTGCAAATGTCACCGGTTAAATAATCAAGAAAAAATGTCACGGTACTTATAGATTTTAATGTAAATAATATTTTTGTTTTTAAGCTTTGGAGGATTAAATTTCATTATTTATTTTTTTTTTTTTTTTAATAAAATACTGAAGCTAATTAACTATAAATTAACTCCAGTAATTTTTTTTTGTTTTCGTAAATAATTTATTAAAAATGGGACTAAATTGAATATGCATGTAATTATATAATTTAACTAATTAATGATTACATCAACTAATTGATATTTAAAAAAAATATTAAATGGATGACAATAAAAATATAAAATTATTATATTAATGAAAATATATACAGGTATCAGTGGGAATCGACAACACAAAACATACAACAGTCAAATAATGAGTATTCAACACCGAATTACCCAAATTCAAATGAATATACATCATCTGTTGATGATAACTATAACAATAATATGCCATATTATTCAACGACACCTTATTACAACGTGTATAACTATGATAATAACAATAACAATGATAATAATAATAATAATAATAATTACAATAACAATAATAATGATAATTATTACAATAACAACTACAACACTCAGTCAATTCCTGAATACAATAATGTTAATTATAACGACTACGACAAGACGACTGAACCTACCACGACGTCGACGACTCCGACTACGACGACGACGACGGCTAAGAGTGTTTATAATTACTATAATAATTATAACAAAAATTACTATAATCATTATCAAGGTTATTCAACGACAGTCAGTACAATATTACCTAATAATTATAATGTTTATGATAATACGTTGAATAATGAAGTAAACCCGTACGTACGTAAAAAATATCCAAATTCAGTGACTACATCCACTGCTACTCAAGACGAAAATCATCGACCGAGTACAGGTCGTGGTAAGAGAACATTCGACAAATCAAAATTTATTTTCAAACTTTCTATTTCTTTAATTATTTTTTTTTTCTAAATTTTTATACTTCTATTTTTATTTTTATTTCAATTTTAATGGATTATCTCTTATCACCGCTCTTACTATGGGACTCAATTATGACGATTAAAATATACTTTCAAACTGTTTATTAATAATATTTATTTATTGACTGGAAAATTTATTTTGTAATTATAAAAATTTATAAATAAATTATTTTGAAAATTTTCTGGTCAAAAATCTAAATTATGAAACTACCTACTATTAATAAAAAAAAGAAAAAAAATTTTAATAATAATAATAACTGGGACTAATTTCAAAGTTTATCACTCAACTGACTAAAACTTCACACTTTAACTTAACAAGTAAAATTTAAATTAAAAAAAAAAAAATATAAATCAACATAACAATACGTATCCGCTTTTTAACTGATTAAACAAAGGTCTAAAGAAGCGACTCAAGGTCACGCAAACATCGTTATAACAGCTACAAATTATAATAAATTGGTGCTCGATAAGTTGACACCTGTGGCATGAAATAATCAATCATTTAAAAAAATATGAATGCATCTAAGCAAAACCACCCACCCAATTACCTTACTCATCACTCTTATTGTCTACTCAAATTTTATTTACTCAGCCATTAATCAATATCTCAAAAAAATTAAATAATAATCAACAAAAACTAGAAAAAAATTAGTATTTTTTTAATTTAATTAATAAATCTATGTAATTTTTAGAAACCGAGGACGGTGAGTGTGTGGATACGGCGACAAATTGCGCGGAGCAGATTGACAGGCTGAGAACGTGGCTGTGCCATCTACCAACTGTGAAAATTCGCTGCTGCGCCTCCCTTAAAGGCATTTGCAGATAGAATTTTATTTTTTAAAAATACAAAACTGCAAATAACAATTAAATTTTATTGTTAAAATCATATCAATTTTACCGTTCAATATTTTTCTCTCAATTTTCATTTAAAAAAACAATTATTATTATTTATAACCGCGGATATAAGGAAATTTTACTTCCCGATTATTTTTTCCTTACAATAAATTTTGTTCAATAATAATAAATCTAAAATTAATTTTATTTATTTAATATTGGACTATTTTTTATTGGTAAAATTTTTTGGGAATAAATAATGAAAATAATAAAAATGAGAAAAATTGTTCTAATAAATATTTAAAAATAAATATTGAAATAGACAACATTGTAATTTACTTTTGTTTTAATTTTTAAAAAAATATATATATATAAATATATAAATATTATATATAATTATAACTTATGGTCACGATATTGACGATAAGATTTTTTTTAAGTAGAATATATTATTATTATTATTATTTTATTTTTATTATTATTATTAATTATATTCTATTGTGTAGAAAATCGTGAAAAATTTCACATTGTTTTGATTAGAGATAAATCTAGTGACAAAACAAATGGAAATTGTCATTATTGTGAAAATGTGTGACGATGAAAATTTTAAAATGTAATAAAAAAAAAAAAAAAAAAAAAAAAAAAAGGAAATAGTGACAAAACAAATGGAAATTGTCATTATTGTGAAAATGTGTGACGATGAAAATTTTAAAATGTAATAAAAAAAAAAAAAAAAAAAAAAAAAAATAAATCACAATGATCTTGAAATTTTATTTGCTTTCAATTTATTACTTGTATTTCCTTGATCATATAATAATTATTATTTAATTCAATTACGAGATGCCGGAATAATTTTGACCGTGAAAATTATCATAATCAAAAAATTAAATATTCAGTGTGACAAATCACGTTAAAATAAATATAGATCAATAAATCATTAGCATTCATCAATTGTGGTTGGCTTTTTAACGGCAAATTAATTAGTTAAATTGATTATAAACAAATAATTAACAGTTTGGAACCTTCGCTAAATGTGTAATATGTTTACTCAACTGATTGTTTACTTACAACTAATTAACATACCCAAAAATTGTATAAAAAGTACCATCGTAAGATGATGATTACTTGATAACGTAATTGATTTTTACTCGGATCAATAACTTTATTTTCGCAATGATCCGAAAAATCGGTTTAATAATTTTTGCAGTGATTTGTTCATCGTGCAGTCAAATGGTAAATTTTTTCAAGTGAATAATTCGTTAAATTTAATTTTTAATAGCTATTTAATAATTATATTATTCTATATTATCTAAAGATTCATCATGAATTTACTAACGAAGAACTTCGATCTGTTTTTCAAGCGTCGAGAAATGCAGGTAATTGTCAATTATTAATTACTTTTTGAAAACTACACAGAAAAAAAAATTTATTTGAATCAAATAAATAATTTAGAAGAATTTCATGTTTTTGATTTAAGTAGAAAAATTCTTAAACTAAGAAATTTTTCTTCTTTAAAGTTAATTTTACTTGATTCAAAAATTTTTCGTCTTGATCCAAGAAAATAGACTTCTTCAAAATTATTTTCTCGGTTCAAAAATTTTTCTCTTAGTTCAAGATAATTTTTTTTCTGTGTATTAAAATTTTTTAATAAATAAATTTTTTTCACTGATAAATTTATAATACTAATCATTTTTTTAAAGTACCTTACTATGAAGTAGTACCAGTAGCACATAATTTTCACGTCCGAGACTTCAACGAAGGCCCAACAGTAAAAATCAACTCTTTTGATCAAAATTTAAAAATGTATCTAAGCCCATCCGATGCATTTTTGGTTAGTGAAAACACTCCTGTTTGGACGGCTCAGCCCGACAAAAATTCATTAAACGGTGTGAAATATCGCAAAGTTAAAGATGTAAGTCTAATCAAAGCTAATAATGAAAATTTGAAAGATTAAATAATTAATTTTGCTACTTAAAGCCCTTCAATGATGTCGGTCAAGCGTATCAAGACGCCCAGACCAACTCGGCAGTGGTTATTTACAGGTCTAGCAGACGTAAGATAAAATTGTTCGGAAAAATTCACAACGACTTTATAATCCGTCCACTGCCTCAGCGTTTTCTGAAGAGATTTTTCCGAGCAAAGAGAAGCGTCGGAAATGAAACTGAGAATAGCGAATTTGTAAATACGCATCATCATATCATCTACAAACGCTCTGAAATGAGCAGTGCTGAATTGAAAAATGCAATTAGTATGTTAATTTTATTATTTTGTGATTTTATTGATAATTTTAAGCTATTAAATGATCAATAATTGATTATTTTAATCAGGAATTGTCGAAAGAAAACGAAAATCTCCTCTCAATAGAAACAAACGCAGTTTACCAGATGTTATTTATCCGCAAGTGTTGGCCATCTTAGACAGCACATTATACCAGTAATTACTTTTATAATTTTTTAAGAAAAATTATTTAAATAATTATTTAAAATCAATTTTTTTGAATTACAGAATTTTGAATAAAGATTACAAAACAGCAATTTTATATTTACTTTCATTTTGGAACGCTGTCGACTTGAGATACCGAACTATAAGCAACCCGAAAGTCCGAATAAATGTCGCAGGTTTCATTATTTCAGTGGTAAATATTAATTTTTTTTTTTATTCAGAAAAATGAGCAATTATTTATTAATCATAAAAATATAAAAAAATTCAGTCAGAAGGAGGAACTCCGTACCTAGAAAATAATCGCCGCGGAGATATAGAACTTGACGCCGATTTGGCATTAATAGACATGAGTCATTATTTTTATAAAGAAACGAGATTTCCATTTGAGACTTATGACATGGCTGTTGCTCTTACCAAGTAAATTGACAAATGTGTATTTATTAATTTATTTATTTTTACCGTTTGTTTTTTTAATATTATTTCCAATATTTCAGCTACGATATATGTAACGTAGAATACGGCTACTGCGACCCTTCAACGTTAGGTAAAAATAATTTTATATTAAAAAAAACATTGAACTTTTATCAAGATAATTAATCATAAAAATATCTAAAGGGTACGCGTTCGAAATGGGAGCCTGTAACAGAAGTTCAATCGACCGAAATACCGAAGCCGTAGGAATTGTGGAAGATAATGGTGGATACGGCGCAATTCTTCCAGCTGCTCATGAAGTTGGTCACTTGTAAGTTTTTATACTTCAATTATTCTTCAATTATAAAATTTTGATAATTAAATTGATTGATTAATTATTTATTACAGAGCGGGTGTTCCTCACGACGGTACCGAAGAAGCATCAGATTGTTCGGGCCTCGACGGCTACATTATGACCCCCACGGTGACTTTTGGCCACAACAGCTTCCACTGGTCAAAGTGCAGTAAAAAATTGATGGATGATTTTTTCGCGTAATTATTTTATTAATTAAAAAAAAAAAAAAAAAACAATAACTTCCTGATTTTTTTTAATTTTAAATTTTCTTAGCGGGAAATTAAAAATACTTGAATTATTTACTATAATTAATTTTTAATTCTTCAGGATGAGCGACGCATCTTGTCTTTTTGACCAGCCAAGAAGAAGCAAACAAATACCGCTTATGCTTCCAGGAAAAATCCAAACTCTCGATCAACAATGTCAAAAAGTTTATGGAACTAAGGCTTGTTTTGTGAGTTTATATTTTAATATCAATTTAAATTTGTTAGAGCAGCTAATTTTATAGTTGTAATTTATAATTTTTTTCAGTATGATGAAAGAGTTTGTACGAAATTAGAGTGTCAAATCCCGAGGGGTGGAGGGTCATGTAAGTCAATATCTTCTGCTGCTGAAGGGTCTAAATGTGGCGAAGGAATGGTAAATATCTTGACTATTAATAATAGTTTAATAATTTAATAAACATAATATGTTTATTATTCTATGAATTATATTATATAAATTTAAAAAAATTGATTTTTAAAAATTGTAGTTTTGCATACGAGGAAATTGCATCGCTGAAAATTCAACGACTGTCCCAAACTGGGAAAAAAAAAAACCCGAGCCAAATCAGTTTTGGGATAATTTCCACCCTGGACCTTCTACGATAAAAATTAATTAATTACCGGAAATACTATAAAATATTAAGTTGTATTTAATTATTTATTTTTGTGAAAATATTGTAAATAAAATATTTTTTTATTTAAATATGATTGTCGTTGTTTTAAATAAATACGGAATAAAAATAAGTAGTATATCATGATATGATATAGTAATTTATGGACTAAACATATCAATAAATAATTGGTCTTTTCTGAATAAAAGTGAAAAATTTTACAGAAATATCTCATTGCAAAATGAAGTCGCTTGCAATACTTTTGGTCTTAGTGCTTCAGTCTTTTAAATCTGGTTATTCAGCTCAGGTAAAAATTCATTAGTTAAAATAGTTCTTTTTTTTAACAATAAATTCGTTTGTTAATAAAATTAAATTTTTAGCTTCACGAGTTGATGACCGATGAAGAAATTCAATCCGTATTTCAAAGCAATCGCGATAGTGGTATTTATTTTTATTTATTATTTTAGAATGTTTGGGTGTATAATTAATTAAATTTTTATTAATTAGTACCAAAGTATGAAGTAGTACCGATTTTGCACTCAATGAACAAAAAAAATGTTAAGTATCCCGAAGTTTACTTCCATGCTTTTGGAAATGATATATCGTTGTACTTGTGGCCTGCCGAGGGATTATTATTTGGAAAACACACACCTGTTTATACGGTACAGAGTGATAAACTGTCGTCAACAGGCTTACGTTACACAGAGTACGATGAATATGGTGTAAGTTATTTTTAAATAATTTAAAAAATTTTAAATAGTAAATTGTTTTAATAATTTTTCAATAAAATTATCAGATCTATTATGCTTTTCGCGATGATAACAATAATGCAGCGATAATTGTTCGCGATGGAATGTACAACAAATATAAATTTGTAAGTCCAAAACTTAAAAAAATACATTATTATAAATAAAACTAAATAATAAATTAACTAAAAATGTCAGGATGGAACTTTTAACAAAAACTACGTGATCAGATCTCTCTCGCCTCGCGTGATAGAAAATGTGATACTTAAAAATATATCATTCTTCAAAGCAAACTTATTCCCGACACCTAATTCGCGTAGTTCATATTTTCTGGCTAACCACCACGTTATATATCGGATGAATGACACGAATATTAAGCTAAAGAATCCTAGAAATCTTATTTTTCCAGGTAAGTCCAACTAACAGATCATAATACTGACAATTTTGACTACAATAAAACTGACTAAAATTATTTTAAAAATATTAATCGACAGACAACCCAGTTGTGAGTAAGAATTATAAAACTAATAATGGAACTAGTGGAAAAAGTACACCTAAAGAAATTATATACCCGGAGATACTTTTGCTGGTTGACTACGACACATTCAAGTCAGTAATTAAATTCTCAAAAAACGTAAAAATAATTATAATAATTAAGTTAGCCGACATTTTTAATTTTTTGATTTTACTTCATTTATTTAATTAGAAGTAAAAAATATCTTTTTAAAATTTTCAACATGTCAAATTTTTTTTTTAATTGTTTGTAATAATTTTCTTCAATAAAAAAAATTTTTAGATGTCAGCTAACTTAATTTTCATAAATAATTAAATATTTATTTTAAATTACAGATCCTTCGGATCAGATATTTCAGAGACTCTGGTATATATAGCGGCATTTTGGCACGGAGTGGATTTACGTTACAGACAATTAACGGATCCTCAAATAAACATAAATCTCGCGTCAATAATAATAGCAATGGTAATTAAAAACATTAAATAATAATTATTATTATTATTTTATTTACAGTCTCCAGGTACAAAAAATAATACATTATAGCTTTAGTATAAAAATATAAAAAATTATCAATTTAACAACTTTCACTCGACTACTTTAACATCGATGCCAATGTCATCGTAGAGCGCCTTTTTAGTACCCGGAAACCCTTCTAAGATAGATTCAATAACATCCGTACAGAGCCGCTTGCGCTTGGAGTACGCTCGAGAGTACAAATCATAACTTTTTTGAACATTCTTCTTTTTTTCACCCAAATCTTCGGAATTATTAGCAGCTTTAAGGTCTTTTAATTTACTCTCAAGCTGTTCAACCCTCGCCTTGACTTCTTCATACTGTCGCTGAGCCTCTTCTAGGCTCGGAGTGGCCTTCAAAGCCGCCAAAGTAGCTTCTCGGGCTTTTATTTCTTTGTCAAGACTCTGGAACTTTGTTTCAAGCTCATTTGCATGTGCTTTAAGCTCGCGATCTACTCGGATCAGTTCATGAGGTTCTTTTGTTGAATCCGGAACAATACAGTAAATTTTTATTTTTCCATACGTCTGCACAAACAAAACATTTATAAGCCATAAATTATAGTAACTTGTAAATTATAAAATAATTTTAAATTAAATTAAATGTTAAGAACCATATTATAAATAAATAATGAATTTTTTCTTACTTTATCAAAGACTTTTCCCGCTTTTACCAATTTATCCAGTGACTGCTGAATCGATGACTTCTTGGTCTCTGCAGAAAGATTCGACGCAATGTCATTGACGTTGTACGGTCGAATACGTGCTTGTAAAAATTTATATACCGCTTCTGTTGTCATTTTAACTGAAGAAAATAAATTTTATTTATTAATACTAATTATTTTTTAGGACCAAGATGCAACACCGTACTTGAATGGATACCGTGTTAATGATAATGCAATAGATGTTGAAGCTATGAAGCCTATGGGAAAGTTTCTGTACAATGAAACTAAATTTGGAAAAAATTCTTATGACATTGCTGTCTTGCTTACTAAGTACACTGCTAATAATGATATTGAAATCAGTAGATATCTGACAATATTTAAAATTTTTAATAATAATTCAAATAAATTTTTTTTTTTTTCATAATAAGAAAATCTAATTAAGAAAATTTAATTAAGAAAATCTAAAAAATTGTCAGATGTTTGTTAAATTCACAATCATTGTCAATAAAATTTTATTTAATTTGAATTTATTTATTATATTTACTTAAAATTACTAATAGATTACAAGTATGTGAATGGACTTCACCAAGAAATGATAGATCACAATGTATTCCTTTAAGAGGTATTATTAATTTTTTTTAATTATGGACTTGATATTTTTTCAAAATTAATCAGTGAAAATAAATTATTTTTAAAGGAATAAGTAACTTTGGATCAGCATGTGCGTGGAGTAAGAGCAATAAAGCGGTTGAAGCCATCGCATTTGTACACGACGAAGGATTCAATGGAATTGCTACCGCTGCTCATGAATTAGCTCATGTGTAAATAATTAAAAATTTAGTTTAATTTTTAAAAAATTTCAAAATATAAAAAATAAATAAATAAATTTGTCAGATTGGGAGTACCACATGATGGTTCAGCGTCAGCTCGTTATGTAGGGGGCCCTGGAGCTACCAGGTGTAAATGGGAAGACGGATATTTAATGAGCAGCAATCGGTTTGACAAAAAAGCATTCACGTGGTCTAAATGTACCAAAGAGTGTTTCAAGCATTTCTTGCAGTAAGTTTTCAAAAATTATGGTCAATTATTAATTATATAATTATAATTATTGATTATTAATAAATAATTACTTTTGCAGACTACCGATAGCTAAATGTCTTTTTAATAAACCGACGATGAACAGAGAACTACCGAAGATTTTACCGGGGACGCTACTGTCTTTAGATGAACAGTGTGCTGAGGCAGGAGCTCTAGATGCTTGTCATGTACTTACAACTTATTTTTATAATTTATTTAATAACTAAATTAGTGGTTGTTAAAATATTTACTTTAATTTTTCAGCACGACGAACGAGCATGTACGTTGCTCTTCTGTTCGAGAAAAAATAACTCTGATGATTGTTTCTCCACTGGACCAGCTGCTGAAGGGTCCACTTGTGGCAATGAGAAGGTAACTAGTCTTCTTTTAAATAAATGAATTTAATTATTATTATATTATTTAAACGAATCCCGGAAAAAATAGATCTGAAATAATTTTAGAGTTATGAAAAATTTTTATATTATTTCATTAAAATTATTATAAAATAATAATAATAATATTTTTTAAAATTTTTTTTGCAACAAAAAATGGAGCGATCATTCTGGGGGTACTTGTTTTTCAGGAAAATTGTGGGTGTGATACAATTATTATTTTTATTTTATAATAATTTTAATGAAAAATAAATTTTTCAAAAATTTTATTTCTTTTCCAGGTCTATTTTTTTTTCCAATTACCTATTTAAACCTAAAAAAAAGTATTGTATTGACTAAAAAACAAATACTTTTTTCTTTGTCTCAATAGGGGAAAAATAAAATTATTTATTTATTTTAGATTTGCATTCAAGGACAGTGCGTTAATAAAAGACAATGGAGAACTCCCGGTATTAAACATTAATATTAAATTAAAAAAAATTGAAATTGTAGATATAAATGAAAGTATTAAAATTTATAGAGAAAAAAAATTATGTCAAACTTACCTTAACCTCTCATTAAAATTACACTTAATTAAAAACAGACGTCACTTAAAAAAACAAACAAGTTATTTTTCATAACTTTAGTAATTATTATATATTTTTTTTTATTTTACTTGTTTGATTTATTGCTATTTATTACGTATGTACTTTTAATTATGATTGTAAACAGTTAAATGTAAATTGTAAACGCACTTGTGTAAACAATGGCACGAGTATTATCGCGCCGAAAGTAAATGCGTAATACGAAACTTTGAACACAAGATGGCGGAGCGTGTCATGTCCGTTTTCATATTTTTTATAAGAATAAAAATTTTGAAATTTTTATGGATGAATATTATTTATTATAATTATTATGATAATTAATATAAGCTTACCACTACCATAGAAATTATAGAGAACAGCAGACATTCTAACATTCCTGTAACATAATTAATAATATTTATTAATAAAACATATTTTTATTATATGAAATTTTCAATGTACCATGGCAGAATGGAGATACAGGAAACAGCAGGAATGGAGGCAGCATAATTTAGCTTGATTTTATAAAATATTAATACACTCAAAGTTAATTTATTTAAAAATATGTAATTTAGGGAAGAAAGAATAAATTAGAATAATAAATTATAGCCAACAATGACTTAAATGGAAATTTAATGGCGCGGGACGCGGCAAAAGCAGCCCGGGCTGCTGAAAAATTAATATTCGCGTTTTTTTTACTTATTTTACCGAAATAAATTATAATTACTACGGATCGGGTTCGAATTACTATATAGAATCTCATATTTAATACATTTTAGGTTTGATTTAGTCTAAAAAAGTAATTATTTAAAGATAAATGGCAGAGCGACAGGAGCTGCGACTGCTATGCTTGAAAAGTCGGTGCGTACAAGTACAACTCGCCCGCAAACCGCAGTATCATCATGGCTGCGCAGTCGACTATTGCGCTGATTGGGTGAAGCGGAGCGCAGGCGCATTATTTTATTTTCAGCGGGAATAATAAATTTTTTGAAAATTAAATTAATTTTTTTTTAATTTTAATAAAAAGTTTTTTTTAAACTTAAATAAATTTTCAGAAAAAAATTATTAATTATTTTAGTAATTAATGAAAAATTATTTAATAATACAATTAAAAAATTTTAAAGAATATAAATCAGGAAAATTAATAAAATTAAACAAAAAAATTTATTGAACGTAAAAATAATTATTTATTTGTAATATTATTAGTCAAATACATATCATAAGTATGAAAGTATATAATACTAAAGTTACCCGACAACGAAAAATTTATATTTTTTTTTCTTTTTAATTGAATTAGCAATAAAAAAATATTTAAAAAAAATTGCACGTATAGTTTTTCAAATTTTTTACATGTGCATTTTTTTCTTTTAATAATTTTATTAATAAAAAAAATTCTAAAAACAAAAAAATATTTTTAAAAAATTGCACTTACAGTTTTAAAAGTTTTTTTACATTAAAATACATAAAATACTCGGTTTCAGTGCAGGAAAGGAATAATTTTAAATAAAAGAATTCTATTTAGACGTAATTTAATTTTGATCAAAATTATTTAGTTGGTTTCAATTTATTATTCGAGTTGACAAAATATTAAAAGCTTCAAAATATAAAATTGAGGTTTACAATGACGTGATCTTAGCAATCTAATCTCTCGATGAGAAGTGTCGTTACATAGTTTTTCCGAAGATCTTCAAACTCCGTTCTTCTCCCACCATAACTTCCACACATACATCCACTCTAAGGAATATATAAATACATATATTTTCTACTACATATAAATGATCCTTATACACTAACATGTATTTTCTCTATATCTATATATATTTACTTCAGCCTATCGACCTGAAAGTTGGACTTCACTTATATATACTTTTAGCAATACAGTCATTATGTTTATCCAACCATTCTTACTAATTTAACAAACCCTTTTTAAAATCTATTAAATTACAATAAAATTATAGTAAATTATAACATGAAAGTATAAATATTATATTATTTATAATATGTTGGACTAACGTTTGAGTTTGAATAATTAATAATTCGAATTAAATATTATTTCTATCATTTTACAATCGAGTTTTCTAATAAAATTATAAGTCATTTTAATTATTATCCTGTATAAAAGAATAGATATTATTATTTAATTATAAATTAAATAATAATTAGATAATGATTTAATAATAAATTAATAGTAAATTAGTTAACTAATAATTATTAGTTATAAATTAAATATAAGATACTAATTATTAATTATTTTAACTCAATTTTGCTTAACTACAATATTATATAAAGTTAGATTTTAACAGTAAATGTTATTTAACAATATTACTTTTGTTTAGTTACATATGTTTTTTTATTATTCTTTGTTACTTTAGAACAAGGATCTATTGAATTTCACACGTGTCTTTTACGACTTCTCCTCATAGGGTTTTAAGTTTCATCAGGCGAGAAAGTCCTTGAATTACTCAAGTACTTTTTATGGGTTTTGAAAATTCGGTTACAATGTACCTTTGTACCGAAATATGTTTTTTTTTATTCTATTTTATTTTATTTTGTAAATAAAACAGAGTTAACCAAAAGATGTTTATTGTACAACTGGTAAGAGTAAAAGCATTAAATAAAGGACTGGAATATTAACTAATTTTAATCATTTAATATTTACTAGTTTGAATATTTCGTTTGAATTCGCGCTCTCATAATAGATAGCGCTCTAATAACAGGTAGCGTCACCTGTTGGATGCACTGGGTGCATCACAACGGTTGTATCGTAGTGAATTTTAATAAAAATTCAATGAAAAAAAAAAAAAAATACGTACAGTCGGCGACAAGTATTGTAACAATATTGTATAGTACGCCATCTAGCAAGTGTCGCTGATATCCTATTAAAATTAATATTATTATAAATATTGAACATTTAACAAACAAAAACTTTGCTAAAAGCATAAAAATAAAAAAAAAAATAAGATTATTAACGTAACAAATTTTTATAGATCTTGAAGCGTGTGTAAGTTTTTTTTTTGTTCGTCAAATTTGATGATATTTTATTTTATAACCTAATCTATTTGAAGTGAACTCATCAGATTAAATTCTAATATTTATTTTATAAGGATTTTTTTAATTTTGGTCACTTTTTTTTATAATTACAGAATAGTAACATCTATTCATTAAATGATGGTTAAGATTTGATGTCAGTGCAGTCAATAAAGGACGATAAAACCGAATGGAAAATGAAGGACTCAGCGTACGTATCAGATTCCAATGTTGACTCAATACATTTTTCAAATAGTAATCACAATGAAAGAATTATTAACTCTGATAGAAATCACAGAGTTACTGGAACTAACCAAGGTAGTTAACAACTTTTTTTCATTTGATGTAAGAACCATTGTTTTAAATTCAAACTTTTTTTTTCTTTTTCAGAATCTAGCTCGAGTTTTCTGCTATCGTCACATGACAAAAATTCTATAAGTAGAAATAATTGTTTTGTAATATCAAATACAACAGGAGATCGGAAAAACGTTGATAGTAGTAATATGTTAAGAAATGTCAAAGTGAATATAGTATACAATGAAAAAGAATTAAAAAATATTTCTTCATCAGGTAGCTTAGGGAATCTAACATCGAAAAATATTGCAATAGTAAAAAAT